ATGTATGGAAAGAGGCCCCGCAAGGGCTACACGAGGTAGACGAACGAGTGGAGTGGCTGATGAACAAGCCAATGCCAGAAGGTGTGATTTCGGAGTTCAAGGACCGATTAGTGAGTGGTTGGAAGCATACACGTTTAGATGTCCAGCCTGACGTGTATCCGTCAGACGGCAAACAACCAGGAATTCACATGGCGAAGTATAAGCATTGGATGGGGCTGGCGGCCGAGCAAGCGGGCAGGAAGGAGGTGCTCCCGCACATCACAATGTTTATCCCACGTTCGGCGAATTGCAAGCTTATGCAGTTTAGGCTTTGCTGTTGGGCACTGGCGGCTAACAGAGCGCGTAAGGGACGGCGTTATATACCTAGGGAGGAGCGAGTATGCCCCTGCTGCGGCACTGATAGCCACATCGAGGATGAGAAACACATTTTGCTGGACTGTCCGGTTTACGACGGAATCAGATCTGATATGGGCTTTCCACGCTTCGAACATATGAAGGACGCTATGAAGTGGGAACCTGAACGCCTGGCAAGAATGCTGGAACGTATATGGTCTCACCGCAACTCTATCGTTCCCTTTGGTCGTTAGTATACTTCATTACTTGTTTCGTTGGAAGTGCGAGGTAGGATGGTGCTTATAGGCGATTTGGCAGCCCTTGAGCCCTCGGCTCGTACTAGGGTGGTTTGCAGGTACGGGGAACGCACCCACGACCATGTAACAACAACAACAACAACAACAACAACATACACGGTGCATGTGGCGTCCCTCGTCTTGTTGGGGTTGGGGCTCTCACAAACCGGATGTAACGTTGTGGTAGCACCTGATGGCATGATGGCCGATTGCGGCAAAGGCGGAGGATGTAATTACCTAGGCTCAGGATGGGGCAGGCCTTCTGTTGCAGGCTTTGCAGCGATAGGGCCGTGTCAAGTCGGCGCTCCACCCATTTCGGAATCGAATCAGGGCCAGTTTGTCCTCCAGCGAGCACGATGATCGCGTCCAGAGAGCGGTACGGCTCTAGCGGATTGCTGTGTTGGCCATTTGTTGCAGTTGATGGTCCGTGATAGGACAATCCCCAGGTAATACCAGGAAGCAAGCGACTAACATCATCTTTGGCCACAACATGATTAGCACTGCTGCTTTGGGTTGAGCAATGAAGTCGCACGAGCTGTCGACGCGATTGAGTTAGGACCCGAGCAACGCTGCAAGGGCGGTAACCGAAAAGCCTCGCCACCATGTTTATATGTCTTCCCTAACTAATAAATAATGCGTTCCGATGAATTCGTTCCTTCGTTGGAACTAAGAGGTCGTTATGGACAGTAAGGCCCTCTATTTTCCGTTGGTTTTACTTGTCCGTGCTCTTGCAAAGCTACCCGGTAATCGGGATCGAGCTTGACGACGTTAGGTATATTCTTGACCCTGCTTTCCCATAGTGCCACGCTTTCAATTGCGGCATCCAGCGTTACCAGCTCCCCATACTGTTTGCATAATTTCATGCGTTAACCCAATTTAACGATATCTACTAAACAAATGGTAGCTGGGAAACGTAGCCGCCCCGGTAGTGCCCCGGCGGCGGGCTCGGCGCCGGATGAGGTTGCAGGACCAGGGCCTGGCAGCACAGCGTCAGGAATTGTGGCCTTGCACCGTAGCAGGATGTTCGATTGGAAGCCGTCGGCAGTTGTGGCCATAGCTCCTTGCCCTGGCGCGCCGCTCTTCGCCGTCGGCTACGAAAGCGGCAGTCTGGAACTCTGGGACATGCTTCAGCTGGTTTGCATACAGGTATAAACCATCTCGAAACTGTAACCTTGCCTCACCGGGTTTACCTCGGGGGGGGGTATATACCGGCTTTTGTCACCATACTCCCGCCGCTTTGGTGCTCTGTCCAGCCGCATCAATGGGGCAACAACACAGCCTTCCTGGATGCCATCCCTTACTGGAGTATAATATTTAAAATTAATTTACTACCTGAATTGATTACCACTGCGATGTCATAATGAGCCGCGCAACCTCTGCGGCAGCGTAGCCATCCCCGTCCCCACTGCCATCCCCGTCCTGTAGCTACGCGAAACCTCCTCGCAGCCCAACAAAAACGAATCCAGCTTTTCTGCCGCTCATGCACTACAACACACGTACCACATATCCTCCGCCTCTTGCTCTCTGCCGCCCACTCCGCTTCCCACTCCCCCTCCCTAATCCTTCGGGCTCCTCCTACATCTTTCCCCCTCTCTCTCCCTCTCCTCGTCCCCATCTCGCCCTGAAAAAAACGCAGACCGTGGTGGGGCCCCCCCTGGAGCTGACTTCTCTGGCTTGGGCCCGCGACTCCGTAAGCAGCTCCACCCCCTGGCGCACCTTCGCCGCCTTCCTGGACGGCACCGTAGCGGAGGTGGTGTGGCGGCAGGGCGCAGTGGCGCATTCCATGGACTCGTACGGCGGTGTCGTATGGGCGTTAGCCGCGAGCCCGGCGTCTGTCGTCAAGCCCGGTAAGTTGTTCCGCTCAGATGGCCTTGACGACGTATAGACATTCTTGGACGTTTTTAGCTACGACTTCTGCTTCTTGTGCTGCGATAACGAAAAAGGACGGCTTTTTACTTCTGAAAAATCCGAAAAGATTACAAAAGTAAAAATAAAAAACTTCCATCGAAATTAATGATTCGCAGGAAAAGATCTCCCATATCCTTGTTTGATCAGTCTCCTCCCGGACGCTCCGAAACCCGCATCAACATGTTTTCTCTCACACACACAAACCTGCAGGTTTCTCGCACGCGCTTGCGGCTGCCTGCGATGATGGCAGCGTACGACTGTTTGGTTGCGAGGGCGGCGAGCCGGGCTTGGTTCCGGAGCGTGTTTTGGCTCGCCTGGAGGGCCGGCTGCTGACAGTGGCATGGCACGGGGGAGGTACGGCACTGGCTGTTGCAGGCAGTACGGGAAATATACACATCCTGGATGCCGTTACAGGTGGGTTAACCGGGGGGTGGTGGCGGGGGGGAGGGGGGGAGGGAAATCATCACAAGATGCGAGGAACTTCAGGAAATGAACTGCCGGAATAATGGGCAGGTAATGGGCAGGAGTGAGGGCGTGTGTGTCTGCGTGTGTTTGTGTTTGTGCTCAACCGCATGTTTCCGGTCTCCGTACTGGGTTTTGCGGTGCCAGATGTGTCGTACCCGGGTCTGTCGTATCGGGTAGGCAACGCAGCAGTGGAGAGGCAGCAGTAGTTGGCTGGGGGGGAGGGGTAGTGGATGTGGTTGTGCTGCTACTGCTAGAGCTGTGGTTGTGGCACAACCCCCCCTTATCTTTACCCCCCGTCCGCACCATCCCACCGTGTCTGCTGCCTTCTTGCTCGTTTTGTTTTGTCCCCCCCCTCTCCCCTCTCTCTCTCCCTCTGCTCTCCTCTCCTCTCCATCATACCCTAACTTTTGTACACGACTTTCGCTTTGAGTGCTTTTCGATCTTATTACTAATTGCTATTTCAAGCACACGTTCTACTTGTCGTGCGCGTCCTTCATGTCGTTGTTGTTCTCGGCCGTCCTTCCGTCGCCACCTGTAAATGTCGCGATCTGTGTTTCCAGGTCGCGAGCACCTGCGAATCACTGCCGCCGCCGTCACCTCACGACCCGTCACCGTCTGGCGGTTGCTGTCCCTGTCTGACGGCACCCTCGTCAGCGGCGACAGCGACGGTGCCGTACAGATGTGGGACGGCCGTTTCGGCACGCTGCTGCACCGCTTCACACAGCACCGCGCAGACGTCTTAGCGCTGGCGGCGATGGACGACGGTACGGCAGTCTTTGCCGCCGGCGTGGATTCCCAGGTCGCGATGTTCACTCGCGTGGGTGGTGTCGTACACGGTGGCGGCCGCACCAGCCAACCTGAGTCCTGGGTTTACACGCACTACAAGCGGCCACACACGCATGATGTACGAGCGTTGGCGTTATTGGCGCTGCCTGACGGCGACGGCGGGCGGGGTGCCGTACTGCTTAGCGGCGGCGTAGACGCGCAGCTGATTGCCTACCCCGCCAGGACGTTCCTTCAGGAGCATCCTCACCGCCTCTGTAAATGCCCCCAACGACCCATCTGTCAGGCTTCCGCAGCGTCAGCGGTTGGCGTGAAAGGAGCGGCGACGCCGCCGCCATCGCGGCTTATTGTCGCACAGCACGATTTGCTAGACGTTTGGCAGTTGGCGGCGGCCGCGGCGCCGACGGCGGCGGCGGCGGAGGCGTTCGAGGGAACTCCGCTAGAGCTGCTGGCGGCGCCGCGGCACCTGGCACGAGTGCGGGTTAAGGGCACGCGTATTGCCGCGGCGTCGCTGTCTCCGTCGGGTGCGTTCGTCGCGTTTACGACACCCGCCGGCACACGGGTATGCCGCTTGGAGGCGGGCGCTGCGGGGGCCGGCGGCGGCGCGGCCGCAGTGCCTCCGACGTTGACGCGCCTCAAGTTGGCCGCCGCGGCGGCGGCACCCGCGGTGGCCATTGCCCTCACGGACACGCACCTAGCGCTGGCGTTTCGTGACGGTGGGCTTATGTCGTACAACCTGTCCGAGGGCACCGTCACGGCGCGGCGGAGTCACGTGGCGCCGTCGCCTGCAGCAGCAGCGGTGCTGGGCGCTCCGTCGTCGCCAGCGCCGCAACCGCAAGAGCAGCAGCAGCAGCAGCAAGCGTGGCGGAGCTATTGCCCAGCGGCGGCGCAACTGGTGACGTCACCCGACGGGTCGAGCTTAGCGGCGATTGGCGGTCAAGGCATCTCGCTGTATCGCATGCCAGGTCTGGAACCCTACGGTCGAATGCTGCGTGCCGACGGAGCGTTCACCGCCGCCGCCTTTAGCCGCGACGGCCGGCTACTCGCCGCCACCACCTCGACATGTCAGCTCCTTGTCTGGGAGGCATCCTCTGGCGGCGGCGGCGGCGGCGGCACAGGCGGGAGCGACTGCAACCAGCTCCGTTGGTGCTTAGATAACGCGGAAGCCATCAGCGCCGCCATCTCCCGCCTCCCCGGCGCACCCACCAGCGTCAGCTTCTGCCCTGCTCCCAGCCGACCCGGCGGTGGCGGCGGCGGCGACGGCGCGGTGCCGTACCGTCTGGTCGTCAACAGTCCTGGCGGCATGGTGCATTTCGACCTTTCCCGCCGCGTAGCTGAGACGTATGTTGACAAGCGGAAGGACGACGGCGCCGCCGCCGACGGCAGTAGCCGCCACCGCCGCCGTCGAGGGTATCTACGTCCCGATCAGCTGCCCCAACCGGAGGACCGCCCGGAGAGCCGCGGCGGCAACGGCCGGGTGATCCGCACCGTACACCCCGCGGTGTGGGTCGGCCATGTGGGACCGGAGGAGTTGCTGCTGCTTGAAAAGCCTTGGGAGGAAGTGCTGGCGGCGCTGCCGCCGCCGCTGCTGACGCATCGGTACGGCAGCTAGCATAGGGAACTAACGGGCATTGCGGTTAGGTGCTGATGGGTACGACGTTTTGTACGACGACGTGGCCGGCGGCATGGGTGGGACAGGTGAGAGACTGAGAGACCTGGTTTCCATATGAACAGTCCTTGGGGGGGGGGCAACGTGTGTATGCTTCCTGTGTGTTGTGTGTGTATTGTACGGACAGGCAACTGTACGGGAACACTTGCTGGGGGCGCATTTGTCACGGGACGTGGGGGTACATTGTAAGGGGGCCTTGGTACGGCAGCCGTACCAATTGTTCGGTGTATGTGGAATTTTGGGTTTTGGGTTTTGTTCGGGCGGTTGGATGTCTGGTGGTTGGTGACTTGGCATGGTATGGCATGCGGGACGGGGCGTGTGCGTGTGTGTGTTTGTGTGTGTGTGTGGGGGGGGGGGGAAATAAGGAGGAAGTGACAAGAGCTGTCTGCGCGTGCGTTGGGTCAACACCCTGGTGTCCTTACGTATCGACGGAGTGATTCTTGAACCGTGCCTGAGTACTCCTCACCCACCCAGCATACAATTCAATGACACGTTACCGCTGTGTCCTTTGCTTTGCTTGCGTTAAGAATTGTTTTTTTGGGTAATATGGAAACCCGGTTGGGGGAATTTTGGGGTTGAGTGACAAGGTAGGCATAGTTGCGTGTATCGATGCGACGAGGGACACGAATGCATACGAGAGTACGACGACTCTGGCTGAGCTGCTAATCGACTGATTGATGTTGATGCCATGCCGTACTGTGTCAATGCACGACTCTCGAAAGTGGTAATCTCGTCCCGATGGCTCCATTTGCGTAATGGGCCCAATGGCGACGGTGATATGTCTTGCTGGCCGCCGTCACTGCTCCCACCTCTTCTCGGTGTTCGACCGGGTCAACCAACGGTAACCGGAGCAACCAACGGTAACCGGAGCAACCAACGGCAACTGGGTCAACCAACGGCCAACGGGATCAATCATGCGCTGATGAACAAATCAGCCCTTACGGGACTATTTTGTGGCTATATTACTTGTACTCTTACGTCACGTGTACGACTGCAATCTGCAATTGGGTTTTAAGAAGTGAAGCACTGATCCGGAAGGTTGGGAGCACAGGTGAAATGCCTCTCGTTCAGGACCGCCCTACCTCATGTGTTGCATGCGTCATTAGATTTATGGCGATAAGCAATAAGATAAGAAGCCGCCTATCCGTACATCTTTTTGTCACATCTTGGGGTTGCCAGCCGATCTCGTCTAGTGTCTTCTAGTTAGCAAGGCCAGTATTGTGTGTGGATGGCACGGCTCCAACACGAACTGCTTCGTTTCCTTGATCAGGATCTAGACGGACACACCAACAGCTGCAGCAGAAGCAGTGGCATACGCAGACCGGCACCATCGGAATAAGAAGCGGCATCGACGAGTTGCCCGATAAACGAACGATACACGTTGACACAGAGAAAAAAAGACAAATTCACGTACGTGGTCGATACGTGGTGTAGCGGTATGATTTGAAATTATGCATCGTGCGTGTAATGCGCGGCAAGTTCTCTACGCTACAAATACAGGTGAATGAAGCAACGCAAACACAAACTAGCGAATTATTTGAGACAACCACCAGTCCGCATGTATGGTGGATTTCGCAACTCCCCTCCTCACGCATATAATGGATTTTGGGATTTGTTGCGCGCCGTGCCTGCTGCATCACGGAAATGATAAAAAACGAGAGCTTCCCCTCCCAGCTGGGAATTCCATCTGATGCAAATTGTTCGGCACTACTGCACCTGCTAGCATAATTTGCTTTTAGCACGTTACAGCCATCTCAAAAATTACATATTATCCAATTTCTATGAAAGGTCACCCGCCTTTCCCCAAAACAGCCGCGCGGTGTAAAAACCACCGATGCCCGCTAACCATATGCTGTTGTAAAACATATAGATTGGCATATACGTAACTGCAGCGTAAAAACTCTAAATCCTGAATTTCGAAATCCTAAACCCTAATTGGCGTGGCACGGAGCCGGCCGTGTGAGACTGGCCATCACATGCCGCTAATCGTCGATAACATCTTCCTGCATGGGCAAATGGGCGCACGTAATGTGAGCGTGTGCAAGCACATGTAAAATAGTTTCTTCATGTGAAGCAAGTCTGTCGAGAGACACACTTATTATGTGCTGTGATGATTACACAGCAGAAGATGCAAAAAGCGGTTCGCAATCGTATCCATGTGTACGCGGCTCTTGTGCAACAAGAGCCATGTGTGAGCCATTGAACAATTCATCCATAACATAATCGATAGTTTTCACTACCACCACACATAGGAAAGGCAAGGTGCTTGCAGCGCCACACTATTTCCCACGATATCTATAATATCCAATTTCAGACAGCCTCCGGCCGTAGACTGGCGCCCCGCATGGCTCCAGGTATGTTTGCGGCCTTTCCTCGTTTTTACACCTTTGGAGAGCTGTAAAACGCAACTCCTATTTGCCCAAACCATTATCTTCTTCCTCAAGTACGAAAACTTACGTGTAGCACGCAGGCATCCCCCACTTCTCCACACACTCATCCGCCATCTGCAGCTCACAGACGTACGTCACATGCAGCATGTACAGCACGTAGCCGGCCGCCGTACGATATCCTGAGGGGCTCAAGTCGATGGCCGCCATGGCCACGTCCTCATACACGCCCCCGCTGGGCCAGCAGTCTGGTAGGGGCAATGATCTACCGGTGGTGACCCTGGCGGTGCCGCCGACTGTACTGCTGTTGCATTGGGGTGGGTAGGGGCTGGAGACAGCAGTTGTGACTTGCGGCCCAGGGGGTGCCCCCGCCGGTCGAACTCCCACTCCCCCATCCGGCACCGCCTGAAGAAGTGCAGAAGGCAAACAAACACCTGCATTTGCACACACAAACACACACATACCACAGGTCGTCGGTCGAGCTCGCGTATATGTATATGTATGTATGATGTGTGGAACAGGGGGGTATATCTTCACCAGGTATTTCGGGGCACCCTCATCCAGTCACCCTAGTCAACTTCTCAGTGGATTGCTCAGGTTCCGCACCCACCACCAGCATCCAACGGAATCTGCCGGATCGACAGTGGCCCAACTCCTTTCCTGGTCGGCTCGCCGGTTTACTTGATCTCAGGTCACCACCGTCCATCGACTAGGGGCACTTTATCTTTAACCATCGGTGGGATGTTCAACCCTGACAAGTCTAGATCCCGGGATCTCCCGGGGGCAACGGTCGTGCTTTTCCAGTAGTGCCTAACCAAGTATATATACATATACTTATATATACTTATATATATATACTTATATATATACTTATATATATACTTATATATATACTTATATATATACTTATACATATATGCATATGTACGGGAGGACATTTCAACAATACACAAGCATACAAAACACAAACAGCTGCATGTTCAATTACTGACCCAGCACGAGCAAAGAGTCCTGCAGCAGCACAACGAATCCAGCCGGGGGCGGCCCGCCGCTGCGTGAGGCAGTGGGGGTTGCAAATGAGGTCGCCGTGTCCCCAGGTGCGCGAGGCAGCAGCAAATCGAGGCCCGGGGCAAGCCACATTGCAGCATCCCGGTAGTTGCGTAGTACGATATACTGCAGAATCAGCGTCGTACTGCCGACTATGCGAACCTGCAAACAAGTACACGCGACCGAGCCAGCGGCCAGTGGGCGGCGCCTCAAATACTTGCTACGTACACGAGATGCCATGTTTTAGTAGATTTTAGGGACACTAGCTGGGGACGCCTGCTTTACAAGCCTATCTGCATGCAACATGCTTCAGCTGTTGCCTAAAATGATGATGTTGCTGCTGGCATAAGCTCGTATGGCTGTTGGTTGGTTGGTTAGTTGGTTGGCGGTTAGACCCCTAATTATTAGTGTCTGTTGTTAGGCAGGCCGCTCTGTCGAGTCATCCAGGAAAACCGCTACTCTCGCACCCGCCTGCCTGCAGGCTGGGTTTCTTGTTATGGCGTACGTGTGTATGTATATAGGCCGATAGGCGGCCGAAGTACACGACCCTTGAAGCTTAGTGTTAATTACTCATCATTCATCCATTGGAGCCATGAACGACCAACCGAACCCGGATCCCGGAGTGCACATGCGTATATGTATGTATGTACCGTGCCTGAAAGACCGCTGTGTGTTCACAGACACGCAACATATATACCCTCTCCATTCTGGAAGCTATGGAATCTCTCGTTATAAAGCGCCGCACTCACATGGCAGATGCACATAGCATGCCGTACGTACCTTGCCCTTCACAAAACCCAAATCCAACACAGGCCAGCTCACGGTCAAACGCCTTGCGTCCCCAGGCTCTGCCGTACTACTTGGCTTCCCACTGATGGTGAAGTTGGAGCTCCGGAGAACGGGGTTGGGGATGTCCGCCCAGTCGGACTCCGACATATGTATGTCGTTTGCGAGGAGGGCGAAACCTATGGCTGGGTTGGCGAGGGCAGCTGCCAGCTCACGGCCTGTGGAGACGACGGCGACGCTGGGGTCTGTGAGGCTGGGCTGGGGAGAAGAGGGCGGCCTTGGCGGGGGAGAAGGCGACGGGGACGGGGACGGGGATATAGACGGAATGCGCCGCCGGGGTAGTGGCGGGGTTCGTCCAGTCCGGGAAACCCTACACATTCATGCAAGCAGTCGTCCATTCACGTGTTACGACACAGAGTGCGCACGTGGACGGGGTTTTAAAAACAAATCATCGGGGCGTTCGTTAGTACGTATTCAGCTAAGACATATTTGTCAAATATCACATCTTCATTAGATACAATTAAAAGAATCGTGCTGCAACAATAAAAAAACACTTTTGTGCAGCCGCTTTGATATCTTGAAAGGCCCGACTTCATGGATTCCATGAAGGCAGCCGGCACCATCAGCTGCCGGCTGCTTTTATGGAATCCATGAAGTCGGGCCTTTCAAGATACAATCGCCACAATCGCCCAAGAAAGAAAGAAAGAAGAATAAATAATATCGTTCGGGGACCGAGTCCTGGCGCGTGTTACGGGAGAGCTGGCAGTGTATGCTGTATGGGACAAGGGGGTCATATCTATCATCCTGCTGCCGCTACCCGGCGGACCCTGTCTTCCCCGGTATTTCGGGGCACCCTCATCTAGTCACTCTAACCAGCTTCTCAGTGGATCGCTCAGGTTCCGCACCCACCACCGTCATCCAACGGAATCTGCCGGATCGACGACGGCCCAACTCCATTCCTGGTCGGCTCGCAGGTTAACTTTATCCCAGGTCACTGCCGTCCATCGACTAGGGGCACTTTACCTTCCACCATCGGAAGGGTTTGCCGACCAACCTCCGTGTGCATAAGCATGTGCCTAATCAGGACATATAATAAAACATATAATAAAACCTAATCGCTCCCAGACAGGCTTGAACTGCCGACCTTGCGGTTCCACTCCTTAACAGCCGCACGCTCTACCTACTGAGCTATAGGAGCTGATGAGACCAGTTTGTGAAGGAAACTTGTTTAGTATATACCAGTAATACCCGAAAAGGGGTGTTGAGAGATGTCGAGTTAGGGCTGGGAGCTGGCTCTGTTTTTTGATAGCCTGCGGGCCCTATCCGTACTGCCAATCCTCCGAAACCATCCACAGGCTGGCATGTCGCCGCACCCATCAGACTGCTCATTGGGTTGTTATTGGGTTGTTACGTTGCGTTTGTTCATTTGTTTTTGCATGCTGTCGTACATAATAAAGAATCGAGTATAAAAGTAAAAATACACATCTCAATATATACATACTTACATGCTCCTCAAGCAGGCTTGTGCGGTATCATGCTCCTCCACACATTGCCACGACAGCACTTGTTCGCATAGGTAAGGTACGCGCAGCAAGGATACGGCATAGCGCCCAAAGGTTGTGGACACGCCGAGCGCGCCCACATCAAAGCCATCCAGGCCCATGTCCCCGTAATACCCTCGGTCCGCCCAGCAACGCAACAACAGCGGCGCGATGGCGTCTGATGAGCAGTTCGCGGCCTGCGGTGCAGAAACTATGAAGGTTTGCTGACGGGCCGGCAGAACCGAGGGCCTGGGAGCCGAGGCCAAGAAGTCTGCCAGGATCAAGTCCGGGGGGCAATAGTCTGCGGCGGCGGTGGCGGCGGCGGTAGGAAGGAAGAAAGCAATTAAGCAAGCAAGCCAGCAAGGCATATGGGTGGGCGCTGCAATGTGCAGGACTGCAGAGTACAGACCTGCTGGGGCTGTTGGTCCAGGCCTATCATGATGGTCATTCATCAAGCTAAATCAATGTAAAACATCTGATTATATGTGCCGGATACATACATACATACATACATACATACATACATACATACATACATACATACATACATACATACATACATACATACATACATACATACATACATACATACATACATACATAGGGGGCCGCTGGTGAAGCTTAACCGCCCTGTAACAACATCATACATAGGTATCTGTGAGTGGTAGCGACCTGTATATCAAACACAGCATATAGACCCCCGTGAGCCCCACCACACGAAGCTAATTACAATGGGTTATGTCCCCCATAGTGCACCCTATGTGGATACCTTGCACAAGGACTGCATCCCGCAGGGCCAAGATAACGTTCTCCGTGCCAGTTGAAAACGCGGCGGATGGCGTCACGAGGTCGAATCCAGGTGTGAATGACAGTTCGGGGGCCCGATATTTCCGCACCACAAGAAATTGCAAGATGAGCGCTGCACCGCCGGCTAGGCGAACCTGCGTGGAAATGCGGGGCAGGAAGATCGAGATATAGTAGGGCAAATAAGGTGCAAGGGACGACGGCGACAAACGACTAAGTTCTATCTAAAATAAAAAGATCATCTCGCTATTTTTATCGAAAGAAAGCCTGCTGCAGGAGCCAGCATGGGGTCATAGCTACCCACATAGCAACCTACATGTAAAGCAATAGGTGCTCCCGGCAAGTAATCGGATACGTCTAGTTGTGAAGTGCGCCCGCGGCCCGCACACATAAGCCTACCTTGCCCTTGACATAGCCGAGATCCAGCACAGGCCAGCTGGTTTCGGGGCCTGGCTGTCCGCTGATGGTGAAGTTAGCGACACGAAGGACGGGGTTGGGGACGCCGTTCCAGTCGGACTCCGATATACGTATGTCATTTGCGACGAGGGCGAAACGGGTTCTTGGGTTGGCTAGTGCGGCTGCCAGTTCACGGCCCGACGTGATCATGACAAAGCCACGGCTTGGCAGTGGGGGAGTGGGGGGTCTCGGAGGCGGCGGCGGTGATATGGGTGGGGGTGAGGCGGGCGAGTGGGGGAGCCTGCACACGCGGCGGGAGGAGGACATGCACCCTTGTGTGCACACACATACACACACACACACACACACTCGAGTGTACCTATCTGCATGTGATGCATACATACATGCACGGCTCATCGGAGGGCTCATCACCCCGACAGCGACAAGTTTTATGATTATTGAGGAGAGGATTTAAAATTATTAATGGCAAATCCAACTTGCTTTGGTCGCAACGAACACACACATGTCCTTTACCTAACTAAGCTCTTGGGCCTATCTCTGCTAGCTCGTATGGGCACTCGTTACACCTCTCCGGGTAACGCTACCGAGGTGTAACACACACACACACACACAATTCGCATGACCTTGCATGGCAGGAATACATAAATGAACTCGCCCCAGTGGACCCATATCAATCTTAGTAATACTATATATTGTACCACGCGGCCCGCAGTGATCCACCCTGTTGCCTGGCCTGTCCTGGCCTGGTGCAGCAGCTGCAGCTGCAGGCAGCAGACGATGTAAGTAACTAATAGTGTATGTATGACTCCAGCCACCTGCTGGGGTGGTGTTTCTCTGTCTAATAAATCCCACACATAAGATACACGCCATATACATACTGACGCACATGCTGTAGTAGCAGCCGTAAGTTCCGAGGGACGCGCTGCAGTCTGACGTCATCTGTTGCTTGCAAATGTATAAGGCGTGAGAGAAGTACACCGTGTATGAAGCCATCCGAAGTTCGGAATACCAGTAGCCATATCTGAAAGAGACTTTAACGTCTAATCCCTGCAGTTCGACATCTTCGTAGACGCCCCGTTCAGGCCAGCAGCGTGAGGTGATCGGCAGCGGCTGGGCCGACTGGGAGGCCCAACCTGTTACCGTCGCCGCGCTGCTGTTGCTATCAGTGATGCAGCCGTCCTGAGGGAGGTTGGAAGATACCCGTTGGGTGCTTGGCCAGGGGCTGTGCGGCCGGCGCGCGTATTCCAGGATCATGCGTTGCATACTGCTGGGGAAGCAAAGTCCTGCGATCACAGATATAAAAATACACACATGTACACACATATACATGTATTATATCTATATTTTATTTTAATTATCAAAAAATTTATTAAATTGTATTGTATATATTATATATATTACATAAGTAGCAGTGAGTAAAAGCTCGCTTTTTACTACCTCACTGCTACTTCATCCACCTTGTCCACGCAGCGTCTCTTCTCCTAGTCAGCTTTTCACCATCATCATCATCATCATCATCATCATCATTATCATCACCATCATCATCAATACCATAATGGTACATCGACGCATTTAGCTTTCATTTCTGCTGCTCTATGACCGGCAGGTGATGAATGGAAATAGATCAACGCAAACAAGCGGCGGCGTGTGTATGTGTGTGTATGTATGTGTGCGGGCTTGAACGCCGTGCCTGCTGCGTGCTAACAAGTACAGGTGAAATCAGTACGGCGCGAGGCAGTCCCCGCCAAGCTGTCTCCCGGGGGGCTCGCTCATTACCGCTGGCTCGCTCACCAAACGTGAAGGCCGCATTTTGCACCAACACCGCTGATGATGGGGAGATGTCGCCGTAATTGTTCCGAGGGGTTACGAGTAAATCGAAGGCAAAAGCTCCGTATGCCAAGAAGTAACCCTCACGGCGATAGTTCTCGATGATAACGTACTGCAGCACGAGTACAGTGCCATAGCCGCCAAGGCGGACCTGCGTACATGAACGAATTCATGCCAGGCAGCGAATTATTATTATGTTGGTATGCGTGGGCGATGTGTGCGCGTGTATGTATATGGGTAAATAACGACGCGTTGAATACCAGACAGCTGAACAGTTGTATATGTGTACCGGAAATGCTGTAATCCCATGCCGTGTTGCAGGATCCAGGAATCGAAGGGCGGGGCAATTGCTAATGAACAAAAGCAATCGTCAACCACGGTAGCTAGACGGAGCAGATCTGCTCTAGGTGGGGGTGCCATGCTGACAACTGCTGACTAACTGCGGACCATGACTGCGGCAGTCAATGTACGGCAACGGTATAAAACGACAGACGACCTGCTCAACAAACGAGCAAGCGATGCATGCATACATGCATACATGGCGAATGATGACATATACACATCATCACATTCACGAGGCTTCCGCGAATGCCGCACGGCCGTGCACGCACGAGGCGTCCTTGGCAAGCAAGAAAATAATAATCGACGACTCATAGCATAGCACTGGTTATCAATATGGTGCCTAATCATGGCGTATGATCATAGACAAGAATTCAAATGTAGTCATCAGTGGCCAGAAACCATCCACTCTGTAACACTCAAAATACACGCACATCTAATCCTCTGAGCACGCACCACGATGTATACGACCCTCCATCTGGAGAGCTCTTAACCGTCAAGAGATCGTATCTTAGTATAATAAATCTCGCAAGACGTCGTTGCGTCTGTTCATCATCATCATCATATATTATATTATATTATATTATATTATATTATATTATATTATATTATATTATATTATATTATATTATATTATATTATATTATATTATATTATATTATATTATATTATATTATATTATATTATATTATATTATATTATATTATATTATATTATATTATATTATATTATATTATATCATATTATATTATATTATATCATATTATATTATAATAATAAAATAATTATTATTATTTCTATTTTTATATATTATACCCAGCCGAGGCTGCTGGAAACATACTAACCGCACACGGCAGCTTATCTATCTACCTCACATTCCCCGCACATTCCTCGCATTCCCCGCGTACCCTTGTCGCGTACCTTCCCACTGACATATCCGAGATCCAGCACTGGCCAGCTGGTATCAGGGCCTCGTGGTCCACTGACGGTGATGTTGGAGCTCCGGAGAACGGGGTTGGGGATGTCCGCCCAGTCGGAGTCCGACATATGTATGTCGTTTGCGAGGAGGGCGAAACCTATGGCTGGGTTGGCGAGGGCGGCTGCCAGCTCACGGCCCGTTGAGACGACGGCGACGCCGGGCTCAGTGTGGCTGGGCTGGGGAGAAGAGGGCGGCCTTGGCGCGGGAGATCGAGGGGTTGGGGGTGGGCTCGGAACTGAGCGGGGAAACCTGAATGTGACATAATGGGCCGAAAGGAACGGTGAGGCGAATGGTAGGTTGAGGTATGTGATGCTGCTGCTTCAGTTGCTGGTCATGCATATTGGAGGATGATGATGATGATGATGATGATGATGATGATGATGATGATGATGATGATGCATCATCATGATGCATCCTTATCGTGATCATGAGGCGGAGGAGGAGAAGAGTACACCATCTCTACAGCATCCCCCTATTCAGCTGCAGGCGGATCAAAGTTCCTGAGGAGCGAATCCCCGCCCTGTAAAACTGCTTTAATATCCCCCCATAAGCAATACGTGTTTCCACTGACCAGCAGTACACCGGCTGCTCCTGACGCAGGCATGTATGCATGCCTATGGGTGACCAGCTAATAAGGCCGCCGCCGGCGGGCTCACTGTCCCGGATGAAGGGACCCATTCCTTCCCGAAAATTCGCACGGACACAGTCGGTACTGATCCCAATAATGCAAAATGCAAAAATAGTAATAACCATTTCATTGGGACATTGAGGCAAATGGGGCTTCGTCTCGACAATATTCACCAGCCAGCCAGCCAAATGCCAAAGCCACTAACAGCTGGGTGACTTACATGGATAGGTAGCAGCCCACGGGACCCAATTGCATCACGCAATCGACGGTCATTTGCCTCTCGCAAAGATATGTTATGTACTGGAGGTGCAAGTTGTAACCAGTGGCCGTGGCCCGGCCGAAGGCATCGATATCGAACCCGTCCACAGCTATGTCCTCAAACACGCCGCGGTCGGCCCAACAGCGTATATACACGGACGGCACGGTGCCGTTCTGTGTCGTATCGCTGACACACCAAGCTTGGGAAACTTTGTGCGCAATCTGCGTGCCAGGTAAGGTTGAAGGCCTTGGAAACGACAGCATGGTTTCCGCCTGCAAGTTGTCGGGCAAGCACACACCTGCAAGCACCAGTGCAAGGCAAAAACCCATTTCTTAGGTAATAACATAAAATAAAAATATAAGTATATGTTATTATATTATATATTTAACCCGATTGATTGTTATATATATGTATATATATACATATACATATATATATACATATACATAACAATCAATCGGGTTATATATATATATATATATATATATATATATATATATAACACATATATATAGCACACACCTGCAAGCACCAGTGCAAGGCAAAAACCCATTTCTTAGGTAATAACATAAAATAAAAATATAAGTATATATTATTATATTATATATTTAACCCGATTGATTGTTATATATATATATTCGTAAATAAACCGGTTTCGTTCACGCTTCACACAGGAGATGTTCGTATGCATGTAATGTGCATATGCATGTAAACCTAGTTCCACCCGTGGCCTCTTACGGAGTATCAGAGCGGCATCATGCACCAGCACCGTCGCATCCTGCCGGCTGCCGTGATGTTGAACCAATAAGTCAAACCCGGGCGATTGCGGAAGAGGAGTGGCTCGGAACTTGTCGATCACGACAAACTGGAAGGTGATTGACAAGGGCCCCTCTGACAGCAGCATAACCTGTGTGACATGCAAACAAAACACATAAACACGTGTCAGGTAATATAACCCCGCCATGGGATGTAGTAACTAACCGCTGTAACCTGTCCAGCCGCCGAATAGGCCTCTCGAGATGCTTTGGAACGCGCTCTAGCGCGGCCATGCATTGGTGGTGTGCGCCGTACTGTACGACAGGTAGCTGTCCTACACTCCCCCCCATTGAAGGGGACCGCCTGGGGCGCTCCAGGGCGCCATACAACACCATTCAGCAGCCCGCACCTACCACCTAGCCCTACTCTCGGGAAGTGGATGATGGAGCGCGCTGGGGTTTGGGGACCTCCGCCGGGCCGTAAGTGCGATCATGGTACAGTTTAAAGGTTGGACTGCCTGGACTTCTCTTGCCTCGCACACGCACACATAGACACACGCACATACGGTTTCTATATCCCCCGGAGCCCCCCCCTAGAGCTGATGATGAACGTCCCACTAGAACTGGCACGGCGGCCGTAATGGCCCTCTTAGATAATCATGTCATGCGCCTGCTGCTAGGATGTACGTTTTGGGCATTCAGAGCTGCAATGACTGCATGCATCCCTTGCGCCCCCATCACGCTGCAGCGGATGTGCCGCACCTCCTGTTTATGCTGCTTTCCAGCATCGATAGTTCTGCTGACGTGTTGTAGCAGCTGTCGTATAGTACGGCACAAATCAAACCCATTATAACATATATACTCGGTAATAAAACGCATTTCCCACATCTTCGGCGGCTGGGCACAGCTACTCTGCTTATGCTTTCGTACCCAAGCCCTCACTGCCCTGGCCCTTTCGCACACTATCCTGCCGCACGTGATCGTCTCCCCTCATAGACACACGCACATACACTCCCGGCTAGGAATTAATGAATAACGTATTCCCTAAATTTCATTACTTGGCTATCGACTTCGGAAAGCATTCAAACCACCGCGAAAATAAAAAAATCATAGAATTACCTTGCTTTTGAGATAGCCCAAATCAAGGACTGGCCAGCTCGCACCATCCCCTGACCTTCCAGATATGGTTAAATTTTCCATGCGGCGCACCGGTAACGGGAAGCCGTCCCAGTCTGAATCCAACAACCGGATGTCGTGCGACAGTTCGACATAGCTGACGTTGGGGTTTGCAATCGCTTCCACCAGCTGCCGACCGTTTTCCACACTGACGGCAAAGCCGTTGTTAAAAGTGGGAACTAGCAGCTGCTGAGATTGCGAAGGCGATTGTGACGGCTGTGTTGACTGTGTGGACTGTAGCAGCATCCGCTGGGAAGATAGAGCATAGCTCGGAACCAGTGGCAAGAGCAGAAGCAGGAGGGGCGTTACCAATCCACCACGGCAGCTAACGATGGCCCACCGCAATAAACGGCTTCGTGATGATGATGATGATGATGATGATGATGATGATGATGATGATGATGATGATGATGATGATGATGATGATGATGATGATGATGATGATGATGATGATGATGATGATGACGATAATAACATATGCCGCATGTCGTCGTCAGCAGCCGCCGCCGCCGTCGCTGCTGCCAGAAGCTTTCCGAGCATTCCATGGCGGATGTGGCGACAGGCGCGGGACGGACGCTACGTTTTACGCAACACGCAGATCGAAAAAAATTGTTAGAAAAAAATTGACTAATGAGTAGCTATCTAGCATATTAAACGACAACAATTTTGCGCGGATTACCACGGGTTATCACTCACACGCAGAACAAGCAGATGGCATGCACCTGATGAACCGAAGTGAAATAAATGTATACAGACAGAGCTGGTGCTGGCCGGTAGGTATAGGCATATAGCAGGCGGCATATGGGAGGCTGCTACAGCAGCTATATCTAGCCGGCGCCTGCCCGAGGAGGGCTGCGCATCGAGCAAACCATACATGAAAAATAGGAAAAGGCATGCGTACATACATATGTACATTATTACCCCAACCAAGCCCTACATCGATGCGTGAAGATATATAGATGCCTGCTGTCAGTGAGTTAGTCCATTAGGGGGTACACGGAAATAAGGTTATTATTAACATTATCACTTCGACGTGAATGGTTACATAGCTAACTAGCCCTGATGCTCGCCGTGCCTGATCCGCCAGGCAACCATCAGCCACTGCTGAACCACCCATTCATATCCACCTGGCCACCTTACCCACCCTGGACGTCATTGCGGGCATCCGTTGCCTTGCCTTGTATTGCCCTTCCGCAGGTGGTGGGCGTAATTGCCGGGTAAGTGGTGCGCACATGTGATACAGAGGGACCTGTTCCATGAGTTTCAGCCCCAAGCACGCACGCACGCACGCACGCACGCACGAGGTAAGGGGCGACGGGAGACGCCCGAAGCAATAGTAGGTAGGTAGGGGAATCTGCCCCTCCGGGCAGCAGAGACAGCACACACCAGTGCAGTAATGCTGCTGCGTGGAAGATGTACGGACGGCTGAGTAGGGTTGGTGTGGTGTTAACGAGTGACAGCGACGGAGAGAACAAACAACAAGGTTCATAAAGTTAGTAAGGTTAGTAAGGTAAGGCGCGTACGTTTGGTCCCTTTTGGCTGACTGGCGGAATAGAGGATACGGGGAAGCAGGCATAATCAGCAGCAGGCACCCGCGCACGGGCAACGAAAGAAAGAAAGCTTCTCAGCAGCCGTCCCTAGCTTCTGCGCTGCCACCTGTCCGAGAACAGGAGCTAGGACAGTCTTCCGGTTGTCCATCTTCGTTTCCGTTCCTCCTTTACTGATCACAACATATCAGTAATCAGTTAATACACACCTGCTCGGAACCGCAGCTGGGCTGTTAAGCGGAACCTTTCTCGTCACGTGGCAGGGCTGAAGCGATAGCAGGAAAGGTATTGCACTGTTGCTGCGTTGCTGTAATGATTATTAGCCACGCAATTTTCCGGCGTTACGGGTGCAGAAGCTGTCAACGCGCACCGCTGAAATGCTGGCACAGATTTGCAGCAGCAGTTAGGGACCTTGAAGGAAATGAACGCAGGTATAACAATTAAAACAGACTTAACTTAAATAAACTGGGAAGTATAAACTTGAAGCCAGCTGGGCCCAATGGGTACCAGGAGTTCGTTTTGCACATGAATTGAAGACTTGACGTAATCAGATCAAATGCCGGCAGCTCGATTTACTCAGATGCACAGAGATATATAACGCATGTAAAAAGCCAAAGTGTCTATAAGCGTAGGGACCTCAAAGGCAGCATTAATTGGGAGAGGCACAGTTTCCAGTTATTAAAAAGCCATGGAATGTTGCATAATATAAGAGGATTCATTGCACAGACACCAATTCCTTAAACTTTCTCCATAGCCTTATAATTCAGGATGGATAGCTCGAACCAACCGCCATCGAAACAACGGGCATCACATAACACACTTTGTAACCTCCACAAAAGATTAAAAATTACTCTAATTAAGTCCATAGTTGATGAACGTGGGCTAGATCGCATATAAACGATGTACAGTGGCGCTTAAGTTCGTACTGCAGGTCGTGCCGGAAAGCGTATCGGAAGACCAAATCCCTTTCGACTCCACTTTCCCTTATGAGAATCAGCGTTATTGCGGATTAGCGGGCTTTCGCCGGCGATTATTTTACCCGATGCCAAGCTAATACTGCCTTCTGCATACCTGAGCCTTGAGCTCGCATACGGGCAATTGTGGCGCAGATCTGTCATGCAGAAAACTCGCTGCGAAAGTTAGGGGGTAACATGTATGCGCAGCATAGCTCAGGGGCTCGCACACAAGTCGTTCGAGCCCAACCTAGCCCAACTACCTGCTAGGTAGACAGCGTGATGATTGGCCGCCGTGCACGAGCTGAGGCCTCTGCTATTTTTGCATGATCATGAGTAAATCCATGTATTCTTATTGCCACTGTGCCTAATGGAGTACATGGTGTCATCACACACGTGCATGCGCCAGCTGCCTGGGAGCCAGCTGCCTGGGCCAAGCAGCTGGAGCTGTAGCAGATCGCGCGTATGTTACTCGCCGCGCCTGCGTGTACGTGCTCTCCCTCGCAACTCGACCGCGCGTGGGTTGTCAGCATGCGAGAAGTTTACAATCATAGACGATATCAGAAGAAGTTTATATTATATTATATTGACATCACGATTATTGACCCAGGATCCAGCGGCGAGTGCAGACCCTCTTGCATGCTCCGTTTCCTCCACTGCGGCCCAGCAAGTGCTGTGCCCGGATGCTGCTGCTGCGTTAATAACCTCACCAGTAGCTTCCCCCTCTCAGCCCGCCGTTTGGCTGCGTCTGCATTTGCGTACAGTATTGGTGGGTTGTTCATAGTCTCAGCCAGCCAATACCAACAAGGTAAAGTGAATCAGAGTAAAGAAAGTGAGGATGGCGTGGGCTTGAGGAGCGGAGGAGTGGTCAACAGTCATTAAAGACTCGCCGCGCTCGGTTTGCTGGATGAATGAGCAATGGAGCGAGCGGTTGCGGCGAGAGAACCTAGTGCCGACCGACGGTACTACATAGAAGCGATACGCACACGTGCATCCCCCAGCTGGGGGGAAACCCACGTGCAGAAGTACGCATGCAACGATGTGCGACTGGCAATGCATACGGCAACGAGTACGGCATTGCAACGAGTACGGCATTCGCTACCTACCTGCTGACTAACGGAAGGAGCTGCTGCGGCCCGTGACAATACACACACGGCCAATGTTTCAATATGATAATAATCCTTAATAGAATCAATAATAAAAACACAATAAATTATAAAAATAATTCATCGGCATTTTATCTTTTAAAGATGTCGTACGTACCATGTCGTACGTACTAAAGCACGCATTCACTTACATGAATGAGTAGCACCCGAGTTCCCCATATGCCGCCACACATTCCATCGTCATCTGCTGCTCGCACAAGTACACCGTATTCACCAGATAGAACATGTAGTCGCCCAGCACCTGCTGCCCAAATGCATCCACCATAGACGCGTACGTCGCTACGTTGACATACACGCCGCGATCTGCCCAACATCGCGACACGGGCCGCGCCGCGGCGCTGTTGACACATCCCGCCTGCGAGACACCCGCGTTTATGACCTGCCTCTCTCCGGCTATGAGAAGGGGTCTGTAGCTGGCTGTGAAGGACAGAGTCACGACGCTGCGTGGTAGGCAAACCGCTGTAAGGGTGTAAGGGTGGATGTTGGGGTGTAGGGTGGGTAAATGACAAGATGAGGAGGTTTAGGAAGGGGGGCCCAGCTTGGGACGGGTAGTAGGCAGGGTTGCGCAGGAGCGCTAGCAGTAGGTTCGTTGTCTACGTGTGCTTAATTTGCTGAGGAAAGGAGGCACATGTGGGAGAGGGTGTGCAGCGGGTACCGTAACAAGAATGAGGAGGCGGAGGCGGAGGTGGAGGCGGCTAGGATCCAGGTCCAGCGGTGCTGAACCGTGTGGAGCGCGCTGAGGCGGAGCGCGGGGAAGACAGCGGGATGGGGCCCCACGGAGGCGGCTCGTGCTAGGAAGAGTCCTGGGAAAGGCTCCTTTGGCGAGCTGCAAGGAACCGTGACTTAGTTATGTGAGTTAGTTTTGTGAGTTAGTTATGTGAGTTAGTGTTGTGAGATAGTTATGTGAGTTAGTATATTTGATGATGGGATACTTACGCAGCAGGAGAGCGCAGTCCTGGATGCGCACCAGTGCCCCCGCGAAGAAGTTCGACTTGGTGATTAAGTCGAGCCCCGGAGAGGAAAAGGTGTCGAAGGCGTCGAAGGCGTCTCGATAAGCTTGCAGCATCACGTTTTGGAAGTTGACGGTGACGTTTCCGGACAGCTTCACCTGTTGTTGTAATGTAGCATGAATGGTGTCCAGTTCATGTTTTGCGTGTTATGTTTTTTGGGCGGGGCCCCAGCGCGAAGCGCCCAGGGGGGCCCCGACCTGTAGGATTGCCCATGTCCGTGTGTGCGTGTGTGTGTAACGGACCAAACATAATATCTTGCCCGGCTGAAACGCGTTATAGGTACTATATATCATTCTCTATCGCATGGTATCTCGCCTGTAGCCAACAAAAATCGTATGAGCACAAACAACTTTGGCTGCCTCAATTGACCGAGGCCAAAGTCACATCAACGCCTCTCGGGCTAAATTTAATCTCAAAAGGTACCGCGTATCTCATATTTGAATTCCTAGATGACGGCGTATGATAACTCAAACTCCCAGGTCTTGAGTGTGTAACCGACCAAACATAATATTTCACCCGGCTGAAACGCGTTATCGGTACAATATATCATTCTCTATTGCAAGGTATCTCGCATGTAGCTAACAAAGATCGTATGAGCACAAACAACTTTGGCTGCCTCCATTGACCGAGCTCATAGTCACATCAACGCCTCTCGGGCTAAATTTCATCTCAAAAAGGTGCCGTTTATCTCATCATTAATTTCCGAGATGACAGCGTATGATAACTTGAACATCCAGCTTGTGTTACCATTTGCCCGCACGGGCATTCCGACTTGCCACCAGCAGGCCGACAAATTTGCTTACATTTCTCTATAAAATACGCAAGCTGCTCATTTGTACATTTACTTTAGCCAATGCTCGGGGCCTCCGGAGACTTGCGGTGTGCCCCGATGAAGCCCGCGGCTGTGGGGCGGATTGCTGAGGCCGCTGGCGCTTCGGGGATAAACATCACAGACAGCATCGAAATTCACCCAGCTTTCGTTACCATTTGCCCGCACGGGCATTCCAACTTGCGGTCTGCCGCACTGTCCATGCGGCATGCACCCGGGATGGATGCGATTCGCGTGGAGCCCGCAGGCGGTAATGACGATTCCGCCGGTGCAAGCTTAGCTCTCACACCATCAGCACTGCTGCAACAAAGCACATCTCCCACCGCGTTGACACGACCCATCAATTGTCACACGTGCCGCGCTAGCTACCGGCCTGTGCGGATGCAGGGGGGCCCGCCCTTTTTCCGGCTTCGAGGAAGCCGACACCCGACTTGTCATCATGGGGATGTAGTGGTGGTATGTATGCGCAGATAGGGTACATGGCGCACTCATATGCACGGTGCGTATTTAGTAGTTCGGAAACGATCGGAATCTCGAACGTCGGGGGGATTGCGTAGGTGAATGGCTGTGGGCGATTGAGCTTTGGCTACACAGCCGTGGCCCTTCTTACCCACCTCCCCTGAAACTTCCTGACCAATAAAATTGATTGCGTCGACAAAGACTTACTGTGGATGCAAACAGCGGCGACGACATAATAACGTTTTGTAACACAGTGACTATGCTAGTGACAGGGGATGGTGGACCTTACCTTGTTCTTCACGAAGCCCAGATCAAGTATGGGCCACGATTCTGGCGGCCCACCAGAATAACTCCCGGCGATTGTAATCGGCTGAAAGCGTACGGCAGGCGATGGAATGCCGGACCAGGCTGAGGCATCCATAGAGATGTCGTTTCGGATTATCGCGTAGCTGATGCTGTTGTCGTACAGCGCGAGGGCTAGGTCTCGGGCCGTGCGGATCACCGAGACGCCTGGAGCGTATGTGTACGGCATTGGCGGGAGGCGGGGCCCTGGCGGCATCGCTGGTGGGACTGGCGGCGGCGAAGGGGGCGGGTTTGGCGGCCGCGTCGGTAACGGCGGCGGCGGCGGCGGCGACGGCGGTCGATTTGTCTGCAATCTGTGGCAGCATCAGCAGAACCACCATAGGACCATAAGCGTGCATACTCATGCAGTAAAAATATACAAAGGGCAGAGCAGGTTCGGATGGAACAGAGGGGCAGAAGGGCAGACGACCTGGCACGTCAAGATGCGAAGCTGGCCAGGATGAGCTAGGACGTGGATGGTTGTTGCAAGCAGCTACATAATCATCATCGTCATCATCAACATCAGTGCTCACCACTGACTTTTCAGCAGCTTTGCTTGCTCGTCGCTAGCTAGCTGGCGCAAGGTAACACTAAGGAACTACACATAGCAAAGGCAGTTCCCAAATGCAGTTCCCCAAACCAACCAACAGCAGCCTCATGCATGCACAGTAACAACTGGCTCACGTGCTGATGTAGCAGCCAACAGGTCCCAGTGCTAGCAAGCACAAGTACGGCATTTGCTGCTCGCATAGGTACGGCACTCTTTGCATGGCGACAATGTAGCCCGCCGCGGCCGTCGTGTTCTGGTCATCCATGTTGACGGCGGGTGTTATGACGTCCTGAAACACGCCACGATCGACCCAACATCGGCCCATCGGCGGCGCCGTCGGGTCGCTGACACAGCCGCTTTGCGACACGCTCTGCTCGACAAGGTTGTAGCCGCCGAAAACATCGTTCGAAGGCCGCGGAAAAGCAGGCCAGGGCACTCCGCCACTATCGGCAAGGCTGGGCCAGCAAACGCCTAATAGGTGATAGGGCGCGGGCGCGGGCGGGAGAATGGCAGAGGGAGGGAGGGAGCGGAGGAGTATAACGGCACATGTTGTCAGAAAGCGATAGAGGTGTGGAGAGTGTAACAATTCCCCCGGATAAGGCCCTGATGGGGTGTTCTGCGCATTACGTAAGGCATCCAGGCGGGGGTTGGATGAGTGGGTGGGTGGGCACTGAAAAGCGAGGCGCAAATGATGATGATGATGATGATGCAGTACGGCACTGCTCCATGCGTGCCAATGCGAACGGATCCGAAACCAACGGCAACGGAAACGCTTGTCCCGTCGAGGACATTATTCGACAACGAAGCCAACTCCTCCCCGGCCTAGCCTCAAAAAACAATAACACACAGTCCTAAAAAACCAGAGCTCCGGCTCTTAAAGCGACCCCGCTGCGGCCTTGCACCACAGGAATGCGTTCTGTTAACCCCAAAGCACACACTCACGCAGCATGAGAGCAGCATCTGTCAAGATCACCGCGGCCGTTGTTGTGCCCGACTGTGTGGTCACCATATCGAGCCCGGGCGCCACCATGAAAGGACTGGACCGGAAATTTCGAAGCACGACGTATTTCCAGATTAATTGTGCATATGGACCAAGTCGAACCTACGGTCACAACGGGCAAATTCCATGCAAAAGGAGAAGGGAAGGCGCTGTCGAGGAGGGAGCAGAGCGTTTGGCGGAGGCGGCGATGGAGGTGGTGGTGACTGGGATACTTGGGGCGAGGAATTGGGTGGTAGGGGAGAGAGCACGGCTGGAGGTGGGGAGGAGGGAGGGAGAGGAGGGGAGGCTAAGGATCGGCAAAGGAGAAGGCAAGAGAGGAGGAACAGGAGGGATAACGGTGGAAACATGGATAAAACGGAGATCAATCAGATCCCATCCCAATAATATAACATATATATACACATATACATTACATGAAATATATATCTCTTTTCCCAACGACGACCACACCATTGCTTAAGCCGCGTGGAATTCCCACCTCCGCGCCATCCATCCCTCCGCGCCACACCACCTCACCTTGGCCCGAGAGTTCCCGAGATCTACAGTCGGCCACGCAGTCAGCGGCGCCGGTGTCCCCAGCAGGGTGAAGTCCGAGTCACGATTCACTGTGGGCCTTGCGAAGCCGGTCCAGTCGGCGAACGACACTTGAATGCTGTTCACGATGATGCCGTACCGTTTACCGGGGTTGGCGAGGGCTACGACCAGATCGCGGCCAGTGCGAATGACTGAAACGTCCGGGGCGTTGGGATCCGGCAGCGGCGCTGGCGGCGCTGGCGGCGGCGGCGGGTTAGGCGGCGGCGGCGGGCGCGGCGGAGGCGGCGGTGGTGACGGCGGTGATGGCGGGCGCGGAGAGGGAGGTGGGGGTGGGGGTGAGCGCGGGGGAGGTGGGGAAGGTGGCGGTGGCGGGGAAG